CTGGGGACCCTAAGGATGATGGACCTAATGTTTGTTCTTCTTGCACCTCGGAAATGCTTTGGGCTTTTTCCCCCTTTTTATGAATGTTTTCAGTGTGAAATTGTTTGAGAAACAAAATATGCAAGAGACAACAGCTGTGCCAGCAAGTGAGTTCCCCTATGAAAAGGATCTGCTATGTGCCATGTAATTCCTGCACTGTCAATCATGGAAAATGTGAGCAGAGAAGAAACCCTTCCCAATGAGCTTAAAAGTGCTGATGAAAATGGACTTGAAACAGCACTGTTTGTCTCTCATTGGGTTATGACAGCATCTTCACCTAGCCTCCATGGGTGGGAGCCCATAAAAAAACTGCTTATTCCCCAAGAAGGCCACACGAGTAGGTAGAAGATAAGCTACCAAATAGAGAATGGTGCTTTGTGAACTCCCTGGAGCGCACAGCCTCCATCTACGAAGAGCCTGAAGCTCTGCCCAGCCCACCGGGCATGAGGGGCTCCTGATCTTGTCCCAGCAGACAAAACATGCCATGCTGCCAAGTTTGCTGAGCGTGGTGCTCTGAAAGTGGAAACACAGAGGTGTCCATCTCATTCTCCTCTTCCTCCTAGTGTTCCCACAGCAGGGCTGAAGGAGGCTCCATCCTTTGGCAGCTTACCCGGTGTGCTAAGCACCTTCCGTGGGCAATGATATGCATTACTAGAGTAACAGTCGCTCTTCAGAGCAAGCATGCGGGGCCCTCATATGCTAGACATTATATTGATACTAAATTGGTGATACCACTCACAAGCTCATAAGCTTAGGAGCTTTTAAGACAAACATGGTGGGAGGAAGGAGTAAAATACATAAAAACAGTCAGCATGAAGATATACATTCACGGGGCTTGCATGCATCACCATAGCCATGTGGTCATGGTTTCTGTTACTTTCTGATCACAGTGACAGCTAGGAAAGGGAATGAAAGTGTATTTAACTTGATTGATTTTTATAGGAACAAATCAAGAGTGCTGTTGTCAGCTTATGCCTTGGAACATCTCAAAGAGAAATAAGCAAGGGTCCCACAGGCCCTTGGCTGACACTAACCCTATCTAAACTTGGCTCCTTTCAGAAACGCATTACAGCCATTGTGAGTCAAACAAATAAATCAATTTAAAAAAATCACCTGTCAGCAGCAATGCCATTAGCTTTTTCCAAAAGCTCTTGCCATTTTGCACAGGTTAGTGGAAGTCTCTTATTCTGAGCAAGCTGCTCTGCCTGTTGAAAGGAGCAGCGGTTTCACAATATACTGAGAGTCGCTTGATTACTATTCTGCCGTACGTCCCAGTGTTTTCATTTTCACAGTGGCTGTGGGAAAGTCAGGAAGAGGAACACTGCAGTGTCTTGCACTGTTTTTTCCAGGAGGGTGGGGTTTTTTCCCCTTGACATGTCATTTTTCTATAGTAGGTACTTGCACAATTTCTGCCTTTCCCTCCACTCGCCTGTTGCTTTGTCTCTAGTTGCCAAGGAATTGACAAACTAGGGAATTTAGGTCAATGATGACGACTCATGTAATGACCAGCATTGGAATATCTTTTGCTTAAGGGGCACAGCCAGCTTTCAAGACCGGGGCCAAGCCTCCTGTTGCTGAGTACACCTTAGTCTATCAGCTCTCCCTTGGGAAGAGCAAACAGAGTCCCCGAGGAACAGCAAAACTCATAGACTCGTGTTTTCCCATTGAAGTCAATGGGAGTCACAGGTGAACGCGGCTTATTTTCAGTGTGAAATCCCCCTTAGGGGCCAGGCCGCTGTCTCGGGCTACCTGGGCCACTCAGAGCCTGGAACAGGGAGCACGGTGGGTGAGCAGAGGCACCCGCTCCTTCCCCAAACTGCCCGCGCTGCTGTCGTGGCAGGCGTGTAGCAAGTGCTGCATTGTCAAACCGCAGCATCCCCATCCCAACATGCTGCCTGGACAGGCTGTCCCTCCCACACAGCCTGAGAAGTGTAATCACTCAAGTGCCTTTGAAACCTTGCAAGCATCAATAAACAACTGTGGGGTTTCTCCAACAGCAGCCCACAGTCTGGAGAAAGCCACAGCTGCAAAAGCCCTTACGTGGAGGTTTACTCAGACCTTAAGTGGGCTTGCAGTTAGGCAACAGCAAAAGATCAAATTGCTCTTGCTTCCACTGCACTTCAGAAGCCTGCTATGATGACAGCAGGGTCACTGTATCCCAGCACTGCGCAGCCCACCGGGCACCAGAGCACACCAGGGACAGGCAACATTACTGAGCAAACTATTTCAATAAACAAAGGCAGAGCCCATATCAGCCACTGAGCTGCTCCAGATCACAGAGTCCAAAAAAGTATCCAGACTCCCTCCCTCCCCTTCGCTAGGCAACATCATTTTCTTACTGGCCAATTTGCAGGCCCGACCGCAAACGAAGTTTCCTACCTGAAGTACAAATGGAGGACAAGTCCATGCCAGCCGGAAGGATCTGCCCATTTCCCGGGGATGCCAGGAGGAACTACAAAAGACAGCCGGACATCCCTAACAGATTTGCTAAGCCAGACAAGCCTCCAGAAAGGAAGGGCAGAAGCAAGCCTGCTGTTTATCAAATCTGTAAATATGCTATGTGAGATATACAGTGCAGACCATATCTGCAGCAAGAACTGCTTTCCTGTCGCTTGTCATTACCTCTCCCCCAGGTACAATAGCCCTTCCCCTGTACCAGCAGCACCTGGTGCAGACAGGCAGAGCTCTCTGCCTGCCCAGCATTTATCTACTCAACCCAGAGGAACAAGGTTGGTTTCTGTTGGCCGAGATCTCCCAGAATTTATTTTGACGGAAAAGCATGAGTTGCGAAGAGAGCTTCTCACACATTCTCCCTCATTACACAACTCATTTCCAGACCGTATGCGTTGTTAAAAGGAAACAGTGAGTTCATGAAAACAAATGAGTGTGCAACCTGAGACTGCTTCAGTAGCTGCCTTCTGCTGTCATTTAAAAGATGTTGCCAACCGGTACACAAAGTTGGGTGTTATTTATATGAATCAGCTTTGAATTACTGGGCATTTGCGCACGATCCTGCTGAGAAGTTGACTATAACCTGCCAAAGCCAGTGATCAGCCCTGCACGGGACCTGTGGAGCCCAGCGGAAAGTATCATTGTAAATTAGCCCAGCCACTCCTGCTGAGACGACTCCAGCACTGAAACACAAAATCAAGCGCACCTCCACACGCTGCCTGACACATTTTGGACCAGATCTTCATCTCGTTTAGCTTGGAGTAGTCCCACTGAGCCCAGCAGAGTTACTCTGTTCTTAGACCTGATCTGAGCTCACTCTGATCCAGGCCTTTTGGCAATACAAACGAGCCTTGCCTGTTCACTGCTGAGCCACCAGCCTGGCTGAGCTCGCTGGAGGCCACCGGAGGCTGTGCAGAGTCAGCTTGAGGTTCCAGGAAGCTTTCCACAAGAGCATCAGGCATGATTTTGCCCATCAGCGAACTGTTTTCCGCAGCAAATCAGTGGGATCTGGCACTAGGAACAGTCATTAGTATGGAGAATAGAGCAGAGATTACTACAGCTCATGCACACAGAACCAGGAGAATTTAATCAGCAGAGGGATTGTAGCAGCTCCCAAAGGGAGCAAGCTGATTCATCAGTTGAGAGCCCCAAAATACAAAACTGTCTGCAAACACGATGAGCCACAGACTCATAACTTCATTAACTGTGCTTTTACTCAACTGCTTCTCCATCCTGAGCAGAACTGAGCCTGAGTTCTTGGAACAGGACAAAACAAGTAGAAAAGCAAAGATATTTATGTCAGCCTGCTGAGTGTTTTACAAACCACAGTCTGTCAGTTCTTCATGAGTTTCATACCTTCACTTTAGATGCTTCCCTGTACCGGTTTTCCTCGTGTCATTGAGCTTAGCAAGAGTTTCGCTATCATGTGTCTACAGAAAGTTAAACATAGTGAACCACATCACTGAAAGTTGACAAGCCTTTATCAAACTCCTTAAAATTAAGGAGCCACTGGGTTGCCCTGTATTTTTCAGGGTCTGTCAGTGTGAGGCTCCAGTGCTGAGCCCAAATCAATGTAATGTCTCACAGCCAGAGGATGGGAGAGCCCACATGATGGTTGGAGAACCTTGTGATTGGCACCCTGGGGTAAAGTGGTCCAAAGCCCTCTGGATAAATGGTGTGGCAGCTCAGAGAAAAGCAAAGCACACTTTGTGTGGAGCATTCAGACATGGAATGAACTCCCCAAGTGACGCAAGATATCCCAGGAGTGTCTGCCTTTGGAGAGCACCCCAAAGCCCTCCTGTCCGAGGAGATTTTTCTGCTCTGAGGGTAATACAACACTGATGCTTTCTCTTACCTGAAGACTCCCAACCAGCCCCACAACAAACAAAGATCCAGAAACAAATGAACTTAATATCAATACCTAATAAATACGTGCTTACCTAAAATATAAGATACTCTACAAGCAAAAAGTTTTATTTAAAAGGGGAATTACCAGAAATTCTAGAGATTTTTGCTTCCATGTGAAAGTCACACAGACACTATGGTGATGGGCATCAGTATAAATTTTAACAGACAGTTGGCCCACACAGTTTCGACTCCAAGGAGGAAATAAATTCTCCTTTAGGCTCATGTAAATCATGGGAAACCTCCAGCACCCAGGGAACCTGTGCTGAGGGAAAGCTGAGGCTCGTAACCACGTCAGCAGAAGGCTGCAGTCCGTGGGTGCATGTTAAGCATGCCAGCGGGCAGGCTGCAGCGCCGGGGAAGCTCTGCAAGGACTGTGCACAGTGGGATGGGTACTGCTACTCTCCCCTGCGAGCAGAGGATTTTCAGACTAGGAACAGGGATAAGCTTTTCACGGGAGGAAAAGCAAGCACCACTGAGCAAATGGGAAGTTTCTCTGCAGACCTCTGCTGCGACAAACCTCTGCCCTCCCGCTGCAGCTGTGCCTTGGAGGGGGAACGCTGCCAGTGCTTGCCCCACCTCCCCAGGTCTGGTGCAAGACTCACCACTCGGGGCTTCTGCTGGTCCAGGGTCTGCAGGAAGGCCGGTGTCTGGTCCAGGGTGCGCTCAGGGTCGCTGGAGATGTCCTCCTCGGACTCCTCCCAGGATGAGGAGAAGCCAGTGGAAGAGGCTGAGGACGATGACAGCTTCCGGACGGGCAGGCTGCCGGGGGGCACGGCGCCCGCCTCCTCCTCCGGGCCCCCCAGGTCCGTGACGATGACGGCGGGAATGCTCCCGCCGATGGCTGGGCACTGGCCCTCAAGTCCTGTGGGGGCCACCACCACCTCGCCTTGCCGTGGTGCAGGCCCTGACGGCTCCGGGGGGGGGCTGCTGCCCTCCACCAGCCCCACAGCTGGGACCACCATCACCACCGACCTCCCCAGGGGCTCTGCAGTGCTCGGCCAGACCTGCACCCCAGCAACATCGGGGGCCTCACTCTCCCCGTAGGCTCGCGGCCGGGGTCCGCTTCCAAGTCCCACCACCGGCGCCACAGGGCTGGCGGGCCGGGACCGGGATGGCCGGGGGCTCCGCGGCGGCTGGGCGGCAGAGCTGTGCGCCTGGATGTGTGCCTCGAAGAGCCCCACTTTCTGGTTCACCTGGACGTTGTGCAGCTCCCGCTGAAGTTGCCACGCTGTGGGGGGTCCTGGCTGCCCCTCTTCGCCCCGGCTGCCCCGCCGACCCCTGGGGCTGCCTGGCTGCCGCGGGGGCTCCTCGAGCGGCGGGAAGAGGAAAGCGGGGCCACGGCGCGGGGAGCGGGGTGGCACAGGGGCCGGGCTGAAGGCAGGGAGCGGGCGGCAGCTGCCGGGTGTCTCCGGGCCCCTGGGCAGCACTTGTCCGGGAGGAGGCGGCGTCTTGCTCCCTCCGCTTGTCACCTCGCTGTTGCTATTCATCATCACCAAGCTATTGAGCGCATAGCAGTACACGGCCATAGTAGTCAGCCGGGGCGCACAGGGGGGCCGCCGCCACTGCCGCCTCAGCGCTCAGGCTCTGCAGCGCTGCTGAGGGTCTCTCCACGCTGGGACCAGCAGCATCGCCGGGAAGCAGCAGGGGAGCTGGGCTGGACCTGGCCCGCAGCTCCATAAAACGGGACGGCTGCGGGGGGAAGAGAGGGAGAGAGAAAGGCAAGCAGTGAGAGTAGCTCTGCGTCCCCCCTAAGCTCACCCTCCAGCTGTGCACACAGCTGGCCGGACTCTTCCCTTCCTATGTGCCCCCCCCAGTCCCTGCACACACCTGCATGCAGCCTTAGCATGCCACCCCTGGGGACACGGCCCATCCTGGTTGTCAGAAGGGTCTGAGCCAAGAGGAAATCAGGTTTGGGGCTGTTTCCCCTCTTTCCTGCCTTCCCTGCCCCCTCTCCAGGTTGCCTGTCGATGCAGCCACAGCAGCCGTGTCCAAGAGGACATACAGTCAGCAGCCGTTCCCACAACTGAATTAGGGAGTTATGGCCAACTGGTGTGAGCTGAAAGTTGGCAGCTTTCAAGTTTTGGCCCCAAAAGCTAACATTTTCTGAAGAAAGGGAAAAACTCCAAACAGCTTAAATTTGCCACATTCCGGTTTGCCCCCTACAACCAAGACCAAGTCTCAGGCATGGATTTCTGTTCAATGATACATGTGAAGGCTCCCTGCTTGCCCAGTTTTGTACAGTATGGGTCCACATCTCCACCACTCCCCTAACTTACCATGTGCAACAGCATGGCCTCACGCATTTTCACACGTGCCCTGTCTAAACGTGCCTCCCTTGTGCACGTCTGCCTTCTGGGGCATCAACGGCTGCAACTGCCTCCAAGTCATAGCCCGCATGCAGAAAGGTGTGGTGGTGTTTGCCCTGTTGTGAGTGTGAGCGTGTATGCATGTGAGAGAGACTCTGCTTTTGTAGGTGGCTCTCTGTGCCCCTCTGTACTTCAGCGCGCCTTCCGTCATGTCTGTTAGCTCCATGTCCCACCGGACTTGCAATCCCCATCCCATGCTGGCGCATGGGAACCCATGAGATCCACACAAATGCGCTGCCTACATGAGCGTGCAGGCTTGTTTACACGCGTGCATGCTGACTCTGGCTATGGGTGTACACGTCTTCGGAAGCACTTGTGTGCGATGCTGTCAGTGGTACCCCTGTGCGTCCCCCTTTGAGGCTCCTGGCAGGTAAAGTGCCCGCAGGTCTAAGCACAGTCCCCAGTGACTGTGTGACCAAAAGGCTCCCCATCCCTTCAGGCGCTGCTCGGAGACGGCGTGAGGCTCAGCAGAGCCCAGACAACCCCTCTTTGCAGGGATCCCCGGCGCTGCAACGCCCCTAGCACTCTGGCTCAGGTGCGAAACCGAGCACCGGCACACGGTTCTCGACCAGATTTTGGGTACGGGACAGCCTGCTTGGGGCAAGGGCAGGGTGCGGGACAGCCCGCTCGGCTCCGGGGCAGCAGCCAACCCCTCTGCTCGCCCCCCCACCTCGCCCCTTTCTCCCCGCGGTCCCCGGCGCGGCTGCTCGGGGGGGTATCCCGGCGGAGGGGGCGGCCGCGCCCGTCCCCTTCGTCCCGTCCCCCTCGTCCCGTCCCCTTCGTCCCCGCTTACCTGGGAGTAAGGTCCGCGCCCGCCCTCAGTGCGCTCCGCCCGGCAGCGCCCGCCGGCGCCGGCGGCCGCAGGGCGCTGCAGAAAGCATCTCCGCGGGCGCGGTGCACGGCCGGGAGTCCTGCTCTCTCCGCGGATTCAAACGGCTTTCCTCGCCCCGCGGTGGGGCAGGGCGAGGCGGGGAGGCAACGGGGTGGGGGGGAAAGCGCCGGGCTCTCCCCTTCCGCGCTTCGGCGGCGGAGGCTGCGCGGGCGGCTCCGCGCTCCGGCCAGGTCCGCGCCGCGGCCCCGGCGCCCGCTCCCGGTGCGGCTGGGGAGGCGGGGGGGGGGGGGGGGGGGGGGGG